TGTTCTGTCAAGCAAATGGGTAATGTATTCTCTACTTTCAGTTGTGCACAGATTGACTAATAAGAATGTAAACTGTGATATTCCATTTTGCACAATTGCACTGCAGCTTTCAAAATCTAATCATTAGTGTTAATTCTAGCTACCACTGAATATACTAGGTAATGCATTCTAAAACCTAATAGGAGAGATTTAAAAGAACTACATGTATATGCAAACATATTTGCTTCATTAGAAACACAATTACATGCACGTAATTCCAACAGCAGTATATAGCCTAGGTAAGAAAAAGGGCTTATTTAGGCATGTTTGATGAATACCAAATATGCTTGGCAATTTTCATGTAAACAAATGTTTTTACAGAGAACCTATAATATCTTATCATGCAGAGAATATGGTACATGCTCACAATTACCATTTTTTTTGTTTAATTGGAAGTCATAATGTAGTATAGCAATATAAGACCAAAAAAATCAAAATTAGAAGAAAAAGATGTATTAAACATATGAACCCAGACAGAGCAGTGATGTACAGAATATCCACTTTAGTGAATCAGTGAAAATAGGTAAACGCACTGAATTGCAATCATTGAAAATCAAATTTGAGTGACACTAAATGACACCATAGCTTAGAGAGAGTAAATGTTGCTCCACATGTTCAATATTTTAATTGGCTTGATTTTAATTCATGTGTAGTATGTTTTTGACCCTGCAGGTAGTTGCATAGTATAGGAAACTATGAAAGCAATATTGGAATTTCAGATTAATTGGATAAACTACAGGCGACTACAGGTTACATTGAACATGATTGTAGCAGCCATGATACATTATTCAAACATGTACATACAATAATACATTGATCATTTATCAAATAAAACATGATGTAGTTATTAAATAGTGGGAATGATGAGAAGTGCAGTATACATGTAGTAGAACACAACTACATTATGCCTTACCATCCTTAACTAGAACTGTTGAGGGAGCTAGTCAATATTTATGTACTACGCATTGTGTGCCTCCTGGCAATGTGCACGTATTAAGTTCCACTGAGATCAAATGAACTAATCACCCATGCATTCACCTAGTTCAAATCAAATTTAGTACAGAGATCATTTTTGCCTAGATTTGTCAGTTCATGTTATGGTGCAAGATTCAGGAAAACTTAGCTGCCAGGCACTGTTTGCATGTGCATATAGAATGCACACCTAAACATTTTAACCAAAGTACTTCATTTGCTAGTATCACAAAGATCATTTTAAAACAGTACCAGTAATACAAACAAAATTTCAAAAAACGCAGCCAATGACCGTTTAGAGTTTTTCTTGAACCCACAAATAAAGTATTAGAATTCATTCATTTGCTCACATGTCTCACTAAAAAACCCAATAGTTACAAAACCATATTTGACTGATAATTTTTAGTTGTTTAATATTAAGCTATACTAGACAATGTTAATGACATAGTTAATGTCATTGTAAAATAAAATAGATAAATATTTTATATTTAAGAAAACCATGCTTAGATTCATATTGAGGCATCCAATTACTTGTGCATATAAATTTATTCAAAGTTCTATTCTACTTTCTGAAATGAAAAAAAGGCACTTGCATCCCTTGCAAATGGCAAGTAACTAGTCATCGCCATATTGTTCCATTGGGCCGGGAATCCGGCCCTGGATTCACCTGACGTGAAGTGAAGTGATTTTTAAAACATTCCAAATTTTGTTTTTTGAAAACAAGTCAGTAATACTGCAATGACACCATGCCTATTCAGTCTGCCTGCTCAGACTAGGGATGGTTCTATCATTTGTGGCTATTTTTTGTGTAAAGTGATAACAAAAGAAACGATTAAAATTCGTGCAAATTTTGATAGTAAAGGAAAAACCCTACTCCATATATAGAACAACCATGAGCGTAAGCGTTGACATCTAGTAACCAAGGGAAATAGAACATGGAACAAGAATGTGATAGAAAATCAGAATGCAGGAATCATTACTAGTGTACCAGCCTCTTGTGGCTTGGGAACCAACCAAAATATACAATGTATGATCATTAAAAAAGAATATACTGCCTCCTTTGTATGCACGGCTGTGTTTGATTAACATATTTGACCAGTATCTACATTAAAAATTCATATCAGTAGTTTGTATTATAGAGAAAATCTATATAGTGAGTTTTCACAGAAAATTAGATTTTCTACAATTTGGACTCAGTAATATGTACTATACCAAAAATACAAAACTAGACTACCGATAGTTTCAGATAAAAATGTGCTTTTTTTTTTTTTATTAATATATTTTCCTTCTATTATCCAGTTATAAGCTAAACCAGTCTACTTCAGGTCAATTCACAGACTCAAGGTCAAGTTCTTTATTCAACTATGGGATTGTAATTACCAATTCACAATTCTTGCTATGTTGTCTGAAACAGGCGACAGCTGTGGCTCGTATACAATCCAGAAGTTAATCATACACCTCGTATGGCACTGATTCATAACATTATGTAAAACACCAAGCACAATTAGTGCAATGATTTTTCCATACCGTTAAATGAATGTGTTCATTGTGTTAAATTTTAAGAATAAAAGCAAGCACTCCCGACCGGGTTCAAGTTGGTTACAGAAAACTTGTGAAGTTAAAGTTAAAATCTGTAGTGAATTTGTTTTCCGGCACGAGTTTTACATGCACAGAGACTTACCAAAAATATAAGCCAGTTTCTTTCAAATAAGCTAAGTTAATCAAGATACAAATATTCGCGAGAAAAGCATTGCAATACGGTATGATGACATTTTTATCTGGAGTGAAATGTACTGCCCTTCAAATGTTCTCAAATAATTCCAATACATTTATTTTATAAGAATTTATACCTGTTTATATTTTACATTACTTAAAGTCATTAAAAATTATGTTTTTTCAGCCAAAAAATGTATGTACAAAAAAAGAATATGATTAATAGTTCCATTTATATAATAAGTTTATAACATGTCCTCACACTCTTTGTATTATCATAGGTTTGTCGTTGATTTACATCTCCAACCTATTAAACAATGGACTGAATTCTTATCAAAACTCGCACAGAATTTATGTTCACTTCGTCTTAAATAATCATGGACAAATAAATACAAGTTGCACCAAAATTCTGGTGTTTATTGAACTGCTATGATTTGTATTTACAAATCAACAAATTTGATATTGAAATGACTCCTGTATAACGTAGCAATTTTTACATTACTGCCATTGACTTTTAGCTTTTTTCTTATTCATCTGATATTTACTTGGCCGCATTTTGCCATTCAGACACTGACAAGTAAGTAAACAGAGTTCACATGGAATTCAAGAGTCACAGCTAGTCCCCAGAGTGAGTATAACATTTTCAAAAAAATTCCCATGGTAATGTGTCTGGTACATGAAATAAAATATTAAATGTGGTTATATTATTGTGCGAGAGAGATGCATGTTCAATGTGATAAAATCATTAACACATGTTTGACAATATCACAATTTGTTTTCTGCCCTTGGGCTGGTGGTCATCACCACCATCACTTGAGAAGACAGCAAATTGTGATATTGCTCTTAATTAAAAAATTATAATTAAAACATTCCAAATACTGAATGACAGGGTGTTGGCCATCACGACTCAAATGTGCTTGAATTTTGTGTAAATAAACAACATCGTTTATATTGAATGATTACCAAAGACTACGATTACATACTATTATTTATATAATATTTTATCCAAATGTGTATGCATTACCATGCATAACACCAAGACATAGGTACGTAGTATACACACAGTCATCACAGACTAAGTTTGCAGTAATAATTAGGTGAAAATTAAATGCGTGCACCAATGCACAGTATCATTATCATGCAAAATAACAACAAAATACAAGGATAATCCCAATATTAATATTGAATACTGAACCAAAGACTCTACAATGTATGACTAAACTAACATTTTACTATAAACTATATTTTATTAATTTTACCGATTACAGAAAATTACGTCAGGGCAAAAACAGGAAAAAAAAAAAACTGTGATGAGTGATGTTCCAACAAAATGTGTCATTCAGTTATGAATGTAGATGCCATTCCACACTTATATGACCTCAATTTATATAAGTCAGTGAATACAGCTATTTAAGAGTCAATACACACACGACCTGGAAACACGAGATGTCACATTACGTTAAACGTGATGGCAATGGGTTGGGTTGTAAGCATGGGTAGGCCCAGGGTGAAGACAAACACCATTAAAGCATGTCGGGAGTCAGTTTCACTTGTCATTGCAGTGCAGACGACAGTCTCTGCACTTGTCATTGCAGTGCAGACGACAGTCTCTGCACTTGTCATTGCAGTGCAGACGACAGTCTCTGCACTTGTCATTGCAGTGCAGACGACAGTCTCTGCACTTGTCATTGCAGTGCAGACGACAGTCTCTGCACTTGTCATTGCAGTGCAGACGACAGTCTCTGCACTTGTCATTGCAGTGCAGACGACAGTCTCTGCACTTGTCATTGCAGTGCAGACGACAGTCTCTGCACTTGTCAATGACGTAAATGTTTGGAACTGCGCATGGGTGGAGCTGCGCATGCACGAGCCTCTGCTTCAAAATATCCGCGTAGACGGGTTGATTCATATTGCTCTGGTGTTTCGATTTTCACAGGATTTAACCCGTTTTAGTTCGAATAAAGGAAATGTAAGTCGATCGATAGTTTCTACCGATATCATGCTTGAGTTGTGTGAAGCGGATCGAAATATAATTTGGAAAATCGTGTTATTTTCTGGAAGTTTCGATGTCATGGTGTCAACGCTTTCCTACCTTGTGTTATTACTAGTATATGAGTAGTAGGGGAATTTACCGGCGACTGAGTAACTATGCCGATCCCACTTTAGGCCATTTTTTATTATCCAGGAAACGTTCCGAGCGCCTGTGGGTTCAACTTGAAGAAAGTTCGTTAAAGATTTGATATGTAAATTTGTAAAATATCCTACGCTATACTCACTCAAATGCAAATCCAATAACCGTGTCGTTCAGCCACCGTGAACCTTCTAGTAGGTTTATGTCAGATTTTCTCAGCAGACTATCATGGAAACTCAAAACAATTTCATCGGTTTCCGCCATGTCAATTCGTTGCGCACGGTGTTTCTGCGCACATAAGGACCTTTATGTTGCCTGTTAAAACAGGGTAGCTAGATTTATGATATTCTTAGGTGGTCGTGTAAAAGGAGAAATTTAACCTACTGAGTTGAGTCTGTTTTGACGAATTCTGCCTAAAATATGCTACGCCAATGTGAAAATTATCAATAAGTCAGTGGAGACTGGTATGTTTTACACGTTATATCTTTTTCTGCTTTTTTTGTTCAATTGCTCTCTGAAATTGTTTATGTTTATTTCCGAGACTAGTGTCACATCCCGGCAACAAACCGCCCAGTGTAGGAAGTACTATGTGCTATCGGTCTGCGTCTGAAAGTAATTTTCTTAGTGCTACAACCTTCATTTTCACTTCCACTTTTTTTTTCAAATATCGAAAACAACTTCACAAATAACCATATTAATGTTTGTATTCGAAACGAGTATAAATTGTTAGTGTTTTTTTTTTAATTTAGGAGCGAATTAAGCCTGAGCGTACATGTCAATGACAGTGCAGTCATGATAGTATTAGTACCAAGAAAATGCACGGGGATGGGTAATGGTTTTTGTTTGTGTAATGAATATATATTACCCCTACAACGTACACTAAATCTTATATCAGGGTTGCTTTAGTGTGTCATATATGCCCACAAATGTGTGTGTGTATATATGTATTTAGCTAACAATACCATGCTTACTGGAGTATACAGCATTAGCAAATGTTTGAATGCCAGTAGGCGACAGTCTCAAGTGTTTGTTCTTAACAATTGTTTTAAACGTGAAAAAACGCTGAAAGCTGCGATAAAGTGTATACTTATTTGTTTACTTCAAATGTTGCGATTATTAATCAATTTGACTGGCGGGTAGTCTCGACAAATCACCAGACCGATTGTGGATTTATTTCGAGTACCCTCGGGGAATTTTCTACTAAGGCAAACACTTTGTCACAATTGCGCCCACGTGATAGTTTAGCATCACACGTAAATGATAGCCGTTCAATCATATACTCGCATAATTGTTGATATTAAAAGAATGCAAATATAATTGGCGACAGTGAATAGAATAAATACAATCTATGGATTCTGGCACCGATGTGTTACAAATAATGTACGAAATATTACTCGACTTTAAGGTATGTGGATTTTCGTTATGAAGTACAGTTCTGCGTTTTCCATCATAGCAGTTGAATAAACACTAGAATTTAGGTGCAACTTTTTGCCAATTTGTATTTATTTGCCCATGGTTATTTTAGACGAGTGCACATAAATTCTGTGCGAGTTTTGATCATTTATTGAGAGAAAAATCACAAAAAAAGTTTATTTTGTTAAATGTGTAAACTGTAGACTTTGGCATCAAAGGTTAAATAGCATCGCCACTAGTGTGCTGTTCCTCCAGAAGAATAAACATTTTTTTTTTCGGTTCTTGTAACCAATCCGTTGCTTGATTGTTTTCTTTCAAAAAATAATACCATGGATTCTAAAGTGCGGTACTTTTAATATGTATTTTTTCAAGCAATTCTCATATTTTTGTGTCAGAGCCGTTCTGTCAAAATATTTGTCTAGCTCCCTGCCTAACTTGAACATGCCAAATACCCGTTAAATACACAAGGAATGTCACCACCCAAATATCACCAGGAGTCATTTAGCATTTGATACGACTTAGTTGTTTAATGACAATCGAGTGAACAGTATAATGTCATATGTAGCACTCGAAATTGTAACGCACTCAAACAAACTAGCGCAATTATTGCTTCAACCAACAAATAAGGGACATGCCGACGGAGAAAAAGAAAAAGAAATGTGGGAAACGAATATTAACTCTTCTTCGTGAACTTAAATCAATAAAGCCCTGTTAAATGATGCGCCACAAAACAACAATATTATTTCGGAAATCCCATTGGTGTGAGCTGAATTTCATTAAACACCATGCCATTTACTAAATATTGAAAACGATACTCCCTATGGGCTCATTTGCATTCAACAACTCTTATCTGACTTAGAACGCCAGTGTAACACTGCAGTTATGCTGGACTAATAACGCATATGCCATCGTACGTTCAGTCGTTTATCACTTATTCATTTGTACATGTCTAAAACATTTCTAAAATAATGGTACTAGAAATAAATGTTTTATCTTTTTCTTTGGTTGTAGTCGATTCTAACTCATTAGTCCCATAGTCTGACTTTCGGTCACATTCGTGTCGGGGACGTACCTGAATGTCAGTCGGAGTCAACATTGTCCTCAAGTTCAAGGCAATCACGCATGAATGCATATCGTGTACATCCCCGATGGTATTCTCATCAAATAATTACTTGCAGTTGTTTTTGTTGTAGACCTTGTTTCCGTTTGCCATAGAAGAGTAAGTACCATGACCTCATTTGACCGGTGGTTTATAATTGGGCTCGCTGACGTCTAGGTAATCTATTACTGCACCAGCGCCATGAATGACATTCCAAACATATACTTTACTACATGTATTAATGTAATTCATACGGTTGTATGCACTGAACACGGGTTAACATTTTTGAAAAATATAATATCCTTTATGATATATTGGCAATTTAGTTATACCTGCTGCATTGTAATTACTAATATTTAATGCAATTATTAATATTCTGAGTGAATACTGAAGTTGATTCCATGTTCAACGCGACCAGTGTATAAGCGATGCATTATATACCAACGTTCTCAGCTCAGCACCATCTAATTCAATATTGTATTCTGTTAAAGTTGAGGGTTACCCTAACAAATATATATTCTCACGGAAATATTCATTATCATAATGTAAGTCGCCATCGACGATCAAATGCTTGTTTGCCATCTCTAATGCCCATGGTTTATTCTCTTTATTCATGTGCGATATCGTCATCATCCACCATCATGATGATGCTTTTACACCCAAATACAACGTCGATTTTACCTAGGTTATCATTATCTCTTCAGGAAGAAACTGAACAATAATAGGTTATACAGACCAAATGAGGAACCAATTCCTCTGAAAAACAAAACAGAAACTAATATTTCTCTCTGCGTTTTCCAGCCTGAGTGACATTGGAAGCATAAAATCCAGGACCGTCAACGGGGTGGATGTTTCGACTTGGGTTTATAAACTCCCTGATTTGTTTTTGAGTATTTTTCGTATCACACCGGGCTATTTAATTAAATGTAAATTTTATATGGAATGAAAACTCGACATACCTCGAGATTCAACACATCGAAGCGCTAGTAATGTGTGAGATGCTACAGTAGGAAACTACAGCTGTCCCACTGATGACATGACACCTTCTAGAAAAGTTTTTCGTAGTATATTCTTGAGCTGAAAAACACGAATTCCATCATTTCAAATCAACGCCCACCCACTCCCTTTCCCTTCGCTCTACAGAACAGCCTGGCTGTTTGATTAAACGGATCTTGGAAGCAACATTTTACCGCCACGGACGGATGCCAGTGGGTTGATGATGGATAACCGACTCGCGTGAAGTCATGTATGCGTTTTTGCACCTCATCGAGTTGTGATTGGTTTGTTGGAGCGCTAGCTGGCTATATGTAACTATACTATCCGATGATCACGACTTTGATGTTGCTAGTAAGGAAAAGGTAAACGTTATTTTGCATGTCGGTACATCGTTAGTAACGCCCTATATGCGACAATGAGACAAGAGCAAGAACAACTAAAATTGAAAAAAAAAAATCTTGTTTGTGCCAGGCGACGTTTCTGGCCATTGAAATCACTGCTGTCTCCCCTGTCTTATGTGCCAATTGTAAGTGCATGTAGAAGGAAGACAGGGCAGATATAGACGTACAGTCGGCTTCGGGAGTCGAACCTAGAATCTCTCTTATTCGAGGCGAATATGCTAGCCACAGTGCAAAGAAGGAAAAGCACTGTTTATAACTATTGTGATACATTCCATGATCATTCGTGTAAATGTATGGATATCTTTCGCAGTTCTGTCACCACCACACGCATTTATGAACGTGGCCTACTAGTTTCAGTACTTGAGAGCAATGCACCGAGAAATAGAGAGATGCAATAAAAGCAACATGTCGAGGTAGTTCAGCTGGCGTACGGCTGAGTGGTTTTAAAAAATCGATGTAAGTCGTGATACAGATGAAGTGGTTAAATGTATACTATTATATCGCTTTGAGGGAGCTTACGCGGCAAGCCCGTCGCGTTCCGTAGATAAGTCAAGACTTAAAGCACGGTTATGACCTAAATCGTAAGTTAGCGGAGAATCGATGTGCTGTCGGGCTCCCACCGCGTGTCGCGTCGTGATTACCACGTTTTGATTTACTAATCTAGATATCTCGTAAAATGTGTATTACTCTTTTATGTTTTGTGGATATAAATGGAAAAGGCAAGAAGTTGTCGCTGTACGTGTGCAATAGCAGTTTACTAAATGCCAATGCCAATGAAATGTGGCTACTTTGCCAGTATGCCATAGAAGTCAACCATTTCCCTCTAGCCACTCTCGCCGATCACATAAATACTCTCTTTACACGCAAACATGTACACAGTAAGCGACATAAATTAACAATTCAGTTATTGTTGCTAGTCTGTATGGTAATGTCTACGCGACCTGTGACAGAAAATTCAATAGTTTGCCAGCATGCCATAGAAGTCAATCATTTCCCTCTGGCCACTCTCGCCGATCACATAAGTATTCTCTTTACACACAAACATGTAGACAATAAGCGACATAAATTAACAATTCAGTTATTGTTGCTAGTCTGTATGGTATGTGTACGCGACCTGTGACAGAAAATTTACGCCAAGTCGATTTTTAGCCACTTTCCTTATATTTTACATTCATTCGGATTTTCACAACCTGGAGCATACTCAATAAAGGCTCAAAATAATACAGTTAGTTAGACGGGCTTTTATTGCCCAAAATTCCTGACATATATATACAAGAAATGTCCAAGTTGATTGCATCATGAAATGTCGTCACCTTAGGGATATTGAAAGCAATGCCATTTCGTGTGTATTTTAT